CCATACAAACGACTCATTCACGACATAAACATCACAAACGACCGAAAAAGAACGACCTAACTTTACCGACAGATCGAAACAGACCAATCACGACCGACTTACGTCACTTGAGTCTTACAGCCAATAACATCACGGCAAAACCAACCGATCATTTCACACGAACTGGAATAAGAACATTCTACTGACAACAATCATTCACTTGACTCTGATGATGACTTCCGCACAGGTTGTCGAAACGTCAGTCACTACCACTGACAACAGTCCTTCTCAGGACTACACTCACCCGGACGATCAGACTACACCTTCACATTGTATATTTTATGCGATTCAACATTTATTATATACTGATGATAATACACAATGTCAACCCTTTTGTTGTAGACTAAAGAAGACTTTTGCCAGAAGAATTAGGCTTTAATCACCAAATCTCATACTAAAAAACATGGCGGCAAAAACTACGATCACGAGGATTGCAGGCTCTTATATTAGGAAAAATCTCATTACATATACACTATACGAATTATCACAAACGCCACATCACACAACTTGCAGTGCTCGAATGTTCCTGGTTACTAGCTTAGTTTATAACGTCAGTTACCACACCTTTTAACAACTTTTTTAACATGAAATACAAGACGGAAATTTCCTTGAAACAGATACCTGTTTTAGAAAGAAAATGGAAGAGTATACATTGTCATATCTCCTACATAATAGTAATAATAATATTTTTTTTTTCGGTTCTCTAGGATCCGACTCTTATCAGGTCCAAACTAAATTTTATAACAAAAACGACCTACATATAAAAATCGCGAAGGTAACTACTAGTTCGTATTACAAGAGTTTCAAAACAACGTGCATCGAAGTTACCCTTAAAAGAGTAAATTACATTAAAAAAAATATAGGGAAATGATACTCTTACCCTAAAAAACTGTGAAAACAAATTTTAAGAATGTCTAGCCTATATTTGCCATAGCATTGTCAATTAAAAAATTTGCATCGAATGTCTCAACTGTTGTTCTCTTCTTTCTTGTACCTCTTAAGCATAAGAGGGCGCATCGTAAGAGCGCAAAAGAGATTTTGGCTCTAATCCAGGACATAGTGGTACAATATGTTTCACATTTCTTAATGGATATGAGTTTAGCTAAGCGTTTATGGTAAATTTTGCATTCATTGCCCATCCTCCGGTGGTACTAAAGATCAGGGGCGTGAAGGATCCTTGCTCTATTTCCAATACTCTACTGGCATACTTTCGTGTCTTCTCGTTTTCGTGCTGTTTAAAGACTTGCTCAGATGTCTTCTCACCATAAGAGTCAGCGTAAGGGTGGATTACCCGGAAATCAAAGGTTGGAGACTTTTGTGGCTCCTAAAAACCTCTCGCTAGAATATCAAAACGAGCATCTTGGGAAGGATTGGTCCCATTATTCAAAACTTCTCCCGTAATCTGCTGCAGGGGAGGCTCGATTTCCACATCTTTACATACGGTGCTAAGAAGTTCCGCCTCCAGGTCTCTGATCTCATTGTGGCGTAGTATCACAAATTCGCCATTTCTGCCGGTCATCGCATGGTCCACGTCAAAGATGTCACCACAGACGCACCGCTTTGGGATGTCAGAGAATTCCCAATTATATCTGAGCTTAAGGGCATCCCTAAATTCTTCTTTATTGAGATCGTATCCTGGGTCGTTTAATGGGATGACAGTGAGCCAACTGGAAGCACCTCTTTCTGATGCTTGTTCTTTCACTTTAAGCGAGTTCGGTGTTAACATGTTCTTTACCCTTAATTGAGATGCTTTCAGGGCCTCACATTTCTTAGCCATTTCCTGGGACTTTGCAGCATTGTTATCTGCTTCATCTGGAGTCTGGATAATAATAATAATAATAATAATAATAATAATGATAATAATAATAAACGTGTATACTGCATAATAATAATGATAGTAACAGTAAGTAATAATAATAATAATATAAGTTGCTAAAAATTGCCACAACCAATCAACTTTTTCCGTTTGATGGTCAGTTGTATGAGCAAATGGATGGAGTAGCTATGGGCTCCCCCCTTGGCGCCCTAATGGCGAACGTCTTCATGTGCCACCTCGAAGAGAAGCCCACATGTGATGGCTTGATGCCTCATTTGTACAGAAGATACCTTGATGATACCCTTGTAAGAATGTCAAATACTGATGCTGCCACTAAGTTTCTAACTATCCTGAATGGCTTACATCATAGTTTAATGCTCACGATGGAGCTTCCTGTTGATTATAGGATTCCTTTCATCGGCGTTGATATCACCACGAATGGAACAAGACTTGAAACTCAAGTCTATAGAAAGCCAACTAATATTGGCTTGCTTTTGCATTTCCACAGTCATACTGACAAACGCTATAAAGACTCTTTATTAAAGACAATGTTACATCACGCTTATGAGCTATCCTGCACAATGGAGGCTTTTAATGAAGAATACGCCAAATTGCGCCGCCTTTTTAGCCGTCTTGATTACTCCTGTAGTCTTATAAATTCTGTTATTTCCAATTATTTTTCTCGTAAACCTTCTGTAGGCACAGCAGAGAGAAATGCTGACGAGAACAACATAGTCAGAATTAATGTACCATTCAAAGATCAGGTTTCAGCTAATTCTGTTCGGAGACAGCTCTGTGATCTCATTAATTACATTCGCCTCGTTTTGCAGCCAGTTTTTGTAAGCAAGAAATT